AAGAAAATGATGAACATTTTTGTATTTTAGTTTGCTACTTTTTCAACGCAAAATGAAACCGGTCTAGATGTCGGTCTAGATGGGAAAATCTAGACCGCGGTCAATATCGGTTTCAGCCAATCAAATTCGTGAATTCGGTAGTTCCCAGTCCTTGTGAGACTCCGCCATATAATAAATGTGTATTATTTTATGTTTTCGCAACTGTTACTCTGCACGGTAGGCGACGTTTTCTTTCATCGTCGTGATTCCGTCCTTCACACAGTTGATTTTCACCTGATTCAACTTTCTTCGTGTGCAGCTTCTCCCAGATTTGTGGACTCCATCAGAATGCAACAAACGTTCATTGCGTGGCCAGCACGTCACACTGTTAGACTAAAGTGCAAAGCCAATGGCTCAAGTCCTTTGAGATTCCAGTGGTTAAAAGACGGAGATCCTTCCATACACAGGCGATTACAGCCGAGGCTTAAGACAAACATGTGGTACCTAAAACTTAAAGATTTGGTACCCCTGGACTCGGGCAAATACACGTGTGTAGTTTCCAACGCCTATGGCTCAATCAATCATACTTATACACTACGAGTTGTAGGTAAGTAATCGGAGAATAAAGAAAGAGAAATGCTATCAGATCTAGGATAGTAAAGTAGTACAAAGTGCACTGATGCATCGGTTTCATATCCTGGTGGTAAGTCAAGAGTCTTGATATCATCGAAACATTTGTGGAAAAGAACTGGATAAATGAGATTGCCAAGTTAGGCACTGGGTTGAAAAATAATTAGAACTGATAAATATAAACTGTAGAACTGACATAATCGGACGTTCTATACCAGAACAGTAATGTTCACTACCTCTTTGAAAACATCTCTGCATGCTTCTTGCTGGTTTAGCTACAGTCGTCATTTTATCGAATTCCACTATATTCGTGGACGCTACATCTGAGCCGAAGGTTCTGCCATTAGAACCGTTTGGTAGCTTAAATACGTTGGAATAAAATCTGAGTTACTCAGTTTTTTAGTCCAAAAAATTCACTATTTTGGGTAAGCCCGTGGGGTAGTGGGGTGTCATCGTTCATTCACTCAAGGCAACGATAGGATCCCGGGAAACGATTTTCAATGATCGTAAAGTTTCAAAACCTCATTCTTGATTGGTAGTTGATTGCTTCTTGACCAACTCATTTTTTTGGTTCAACAGAGCGTTCACCTTTCCAATCTAGTTAATATAAACTGTCTACAATCGTTCTACGTTTCTCTCTTACACAGAAAAATCTCGAAGTAAGCCCATTTTGAAGTGCGGTTCCCCAAGAAACACCAGCGTCCAGCTTGGACAAAACGCTTCGATGACTTGCATCGTCCTTGTCAGTGGAACACTTCCAGATTTTAGATGGGTAAAGTGGGATGATGTCCCCAGCACGTACCCCAATTCACTTGACTTTGAAAGAGGTTCGTACACCCTTGTTGATCCTGTGCAATATGAAACGGTTCACGTTGCAGGAAAGTACGGCGTTAAAGTGAACATCAGAAACGCCACACCCAAAGATTTTGGACTGTATACGTGTTACGTTAGTAACCATCTTGGTTCCGACTACAGGAGTGCGTTTTTAAGCGAGAAAACGGACAGGTGGAAAGGGTCAGAAGGTAAGAACTACATCCAGTTCGTTAAACTTTGGGCGTTTTGTGAGAACGATAGAATCGTTCGACTACTTAAATCAGTAGTTAACGAAAAAAACGTGTTTTACTCTTTATTCATCTGAACGAAGTTGTCTTAATTCAGTTCATCTCAGTGAGCTTGTCTGTTTTTTTGGAATCATGATACGACATTGCATTCCAACCCAACGTATGCAATAACATCACCGTTAATCGAAAGTGACAGAAGTCATTGAGGTATTGTAAATATCTTAGCCCCCCTATATCCCTTTTAATTAACTCCTTTTGCCGGCCATAGGCAGCTTAATTTAAAAGGAAATTAGATTCGACGCTTCCTGTTCTTTTAAATAGTTTCTTTCTGGGTAGTCTTAATCGTGTTTAAGGTAACAGAATACGTGTCGGAAAAACAACGCAAACAATATAAAAAGCATGTCTAGTTCTAAGTTTTGGATAAAAATCGCCTGCCATTACTAAATAGGAATTGATAGGGTCTTTTAGAGCATCCGCATATTTTTGCCTGTTTAGCAATTTGATGACGTTGAAAGACCAAATATATCGACGTGTAATGCATGGTCTTATCGTATTCGAATGAGCAAAATGGCCGCCTGATCATCGTTCTCAACTTAAATAAAAAAAGAGCTGTTCACAATTAGTAATTTTCCTTTGTTTCCTTGACCCTCTATGTAGAAAGATATCTTGATCACATAACAAAAGTGCTAGTTTGGTCTAAACGAAATGGTTCTTTTTTTTTCGGCGTTTGTGTGTTTACTGGGCCAAAGAAAACATAGTTCACCTTGTTCAAATAAATTTCTCATGCTCCTTCTTTCACAACCAAAAGACCTTTTTGTTTTACAACTGTATCATTCTCATTTATAAATTTTCTTGCCCAGTCTGGATAAATTCAGTGAACGTAACTAGCTCCTAATGTTTGTTGAAACTCTTCAGACGTTTTGTTTTATCGCAGTTTGTCGTTGTATGAATATTAGCTGTTTCCGTTTCAGCAACAAATTTTTGAAACCATTCCGCCTCATTTCGTTCAGTTTCACTTTCGCAAACTGCTTATAAAACAAAATAAATTCCACAACAAATTTACGCAGAGTTTAGGACAATAAACATAAAAATGCGTAGCTAAAACATTTGTTTTGTTTTGCGATGTGCTTTTCAATCAGGTAGGCTTACACTACTCAGTTCATCGCAACTATTTAGCCCACAAACTTAAGTTTGTTTCTGACTTTCGATACTTTGTTTTGTCCTACATTTCAGTGCGCTTTATTTATTTCAGTTATTTTAATTGAATTTCTCATATGTGCATTTTTATATATGATTACGGACCTACCGATAACAAGTAGCATATGCATGTACATCATTGTCGTTTTTTTAAGGTTGCACAGCTCCTTCCGCTGGTCCCTTATACACGTAGGTAGAGAGACTAGCTGTGAGTAATGATCAATTCTAGAGAATTTTGTACGAGGTCGGGTGGCATCCCGAACCTCTGGATTTGATGCAGAAAAACATTTTTCATTGGAAAGCGGCTCTCTTCAAAAGATCTTACCAGTGCAACATTCCTTGAACAAAAGACAGTTATCCATTCCAGGGAAGACCCACACGTTTGCCTATACCTTTGTGAAATGCATACTACTGTTTTAATCCTTTTAATATTACTGATCGATAGAGTCGCTTTCAGACACGACAGCAAATCCTGAGAAAAACTACCTCGCGAAACATCACAACACAGAATCCTCGCTTTCTACAGGTAAGATGAACCTATACATGGATTTGGTTTCTCTTTCAGCTCTATTTGGCTGTATTTTTGGTCACTTCATAGTTTGATGCGATTAAAAGTTGCATCTTTATAGTTTGTCTTTGACGGCCATCTTAGCAACGCACGAATCTCCTTTCTCGTCCAAATATCCAAAACTATAGGTAGTTGACCCGGGTACAACCGAAGAAATGGCAAAGGCAACATCCCGCCATGATATCGCGGTCATCTCAATTCTGAGGTGACCACAACGTATGATTTAGCATAGCTAGATCCCGGACTGGTGATGGGGGTACAAAGCGAAAATAAAGAACTTGGATAGGACAAAGCGACCAAATCGTCCACGATGTTCTGTTACATGGACTGCGGAAAAAGTAACAACATACGACGCAAGAATGCAAGTTTCAAAGTTAATGCCGCTTAGCAAACTGCACAATGGCAAACACACCGCCTCATCAGTTTTGGCAGAATTGCACTTTTTTTGTCGCCAAGAAGTATCATTGACTTTCCATATTTTCCGTTGAGTTTTGTTTTTATATAAAGATCTTTTTTCCACTCAGTGTGATCAGTCATCGGTGTGTACTCAATGACGCGCAGAAAAATGATTTATATTGGGTGGTTCTTATGACAACACAATATGACATAAGTGGTAAAAAAGTACGAACAACATTAATTTAAATCTTCACATTTTTTTCTTTTTTTAATTGTTTAATCGTCAGAAACCAACGTTACATTGGACAACCCATCGCCTAAACCTGTGTTATCTAGATCCCGAGAGGCCAAGATACCGCTCAGTGTGTTTATAGGTGTACTGAGCACCTGGGCTGTCATTACAACAATCGCCCTTCTCTGGTGCCATCTGTATCATAAGAGAATCACAGCGACAAAGCCAGGAATAGAGATCTCGTAAAGCACGAGGGACTACATCTTTCTGGCGATCACCGGCAATGTTGGACAAGAATGAGCATATGTGACACTGTTAAAACCTGACGTTTGGGCAAGTTATACCTGCCCGCACCTTACAGATGTTGTTGTAGATCGTGCCCATGGAAGGGTTGTTTTTGCACAAGTATAACTATCGTGTATTTAATCTCGAATTGTCTTAATTATATATCCGAAGTCGGTTCTACTTTGTTTTGCTGGTTATTAAAGCCGGTGTTAAAAGTGTATGTTCGACTTTAAATGACGTGAATTTGGGACAACATGCAAATGATAACATTTGTTTTCTTTTCGCCCTTTTACAACTAAACTACTGATAAATGAATGTGTATATATAGAAAAATCCCTCCCCTGATTCAGTTCCGCGCTGGCGGATAAAAACTAACCAAAATTTCAACGACGTAAAACGCAAATTTAAGGTGTACCTTCTACCACAGACCAGTTTGAAATCTTTGTTGGTGCGCAAAATTCAGTTTCATTTCATTTGCGGGAAATATAGCATGAGTTAAAGTGTCTTCTTGTTGCGAAAGTCAGTTCAGAAATAAATACAGTTCAGAAAAATGTCCAGGTGTGCACGTTAATAAGATACATACAGGTGTGTCCTCATTCGTAAACAAGTCATCAAAACACACATAATTTTCTCCGTGAAATATGGAGTAACCTAGCCTGTTACTAACAATTTGAGGTATTTATCAGAAAGAGCATGCATGGATCTCACTAGTGTGCAATCCTCGACATGAGTGCAACGGTCTCGGAGTGTTGTGAACTGAAAAATTTTTATTTCCCTAGTGGCCGAAAACTCCACTGCAATTGTATAGTTAGAGAAAAAAGACCCTATTAGTTTTCTAATATACGAAATCTTCATGAATCGATCTTATTTTTACAAAGTAACGTTTCAAATGCCGCGAGTAAAAATGAAAATTGAAAACAAATCATCTTGCACCACGGCCGGGTATCAAGGGTTCAATACAAATGCTGAAAGACCCATAATTGTGTATTGTTGTGTCGAAATTGTCTTTACTTGTGTTTGCCTCTCACGCAATATAGAAACTTGATGGCCGAGTGTTCACGTTGGTGTCCCCGGTGCAAAGTTCTCTTTCAAGTACGCAGCAGGAGTGCATAATGGTGATAGTATTAAAAACAAGTGTATTCAGGTTTTATGTATAAGTTTCATTAAGAATTTCCTTTTACTGAAACAGCTAGATTCTTTCAGGTCTTAATTTGCAAATGAAATAACTCTCTTGAAGATTAGAAAATGGCCACCGAGACGCTGTATCCTATGTTGACTATAGTCTGTTCCAGGCTTTTACCACGATATATGTAAGCATGTTTCAAAGAAAAGTGGCCATTCTTACTTTTGAGCCCGAGAAATATGTCTGTTTTAGCGCTGGGCACATTTTCTCGCGCGCGACATACTAATTCTCGGCTGAGAACAGGTCGTTCCTTCGTCAGTACTTTAAGGCCGACTTCGGGGCAAATGCTCTTTTCCTAACCATATTTCATTAAGTATCGTAACGCATTGGCGCGCAATGACTGCATAAGGACGTAGTATTTCTTGAATTAGTTATCACACTCAAAGTAAAAACTCTTGTGTTCTAATTTCGTGGGTAGGCTGGTCTTAATCGGATCGACAATAAAGGAGATGTCAGTGATGGACTTACAGGTCACCTAAAAAGTGTTTTCTTTTCCTTGACACTTACTAAGCTTGCAAATAACTGCCGTGGAACAATGGGCGGTCTACTTCATTCAGTAAATGTACCCAATCTAGCGGATAAAATATATAGCAAAGTTGGTCAATATAGGTATAAGTTATTTGCGTAACCCACTAAAAGTAAAGTTCACATGCTCTTAGATGATTCGCCCAGACATCCAGTCCCTAGCTATCTTGAACTACTGGAAATAAACGTTGGTTTCCCCTGGTGTCCGTTTTGAGGATGAGGAACGGATGTGCATTAGTGGAGGCACCCAACTGCACTTGCACAGACCAAAAGACACTGAAACGCTTCCTCATTAATACCCTAAGTATTATTAGGCCATTTTTTAACCATCGTGGAGTTAAGCGGAAAGATTAGTGGGCAATCGATGTCTTTGTGCAGGAGTATTTTGTACGTCATTGAGCTGTCGCGTTGTATCTGCGAGTCTTCCGGTCCGAGGGGCATATTATTATTACTGATAAAGCGTAAACCAGGAATCTCTGGATTATCACTCGTTCACTTACCAGAGGTTTTGCACTAAGGAAAGGTTTTAGCAAAGTTGAATGGAAGACGTTTCTTAGAAGGTGTGATTTGCGTGAAAGGAAATCGTTGCCTCCCCAGGCTGTTCTTGAGTACCACCAGGCTACAACCTTGTGCACCTAAGTATAGGAGACAAAAAAGTGATTCTCTGTTGAATGCTTTTGTAATATAACGGCCAAAGCTCGCATACTATTTAGACAAAGCAAATCTTCAGTTGGCAGTGGTCTCCATATTTTGGTTAAGGTCATTGCTCACATTTGCATCGCGCATCCTTACTGCGCATAATTTATGGCGTCATTAGCGCGCGCTCCTGCACGCGCATATTGAAAACATCACGGATTTGCCTTGATATTGAGCTCTGTCAGTTGAAAAATGGCTCTAGCTCACCAACGAGCCCAGGCACCCCAATTTTTTTTCCAGTCATTGTAATCAACTAATCATAAGCTTTGCGTGAGAAAAGACTGATCTAATTTCTATTGCTGAAAATTGAACAAATGAGAAAAATAGCAGATACACTGTAGTCTTTTCTATTTTGCAGTTTGGTAACCACGTCAAGAAATTTGGTTCAAATTTTTAATCAATGATTTAGCTTTCTGCCTGAATTAAGCTTAAATGTTTATTTCTGTCCGACACAATGTATTGACTGCAGTTTAATGCGTGTTCTTACGTGTCTGGGCTCACAAAGATTTTACAATTACTGGGAATACGTTCTTATAATAAGCATTAAATAATGCCAAAAAGGGGCATTTTCAATGCCTCACTGCTCTTTAATTAATGAGCATGGGCACCTCCCTTTTTTATTTCAAAATTGAAGTTATCATATGACAAATATTCAGTGGACAAACTTTGAACAAAAATCTATTGTCACTTTTATTTCAGAGGAATTACCTTAAGTTGTCACAAATCCTATAACATCGCAAATAAGGCTATTAAAGCTAATGAACTTAACGATCCTTTCGAGAATTCTGCAAATAGACCAATAAGCATAAAGCCTGGCCTTTAAGTTTGACCCACGCTTGTGACCTTCTTTTGACTCTTGGGCAGCCCGCCAGACCCCCAGTACACAGACACGAGTCGAAGAGTCGCAAAGTTGACTCGAAGCACGATGGACCCCGGCATGAAACTGTTGGCGATGCTTCTACTCATAGGGTTCTTCTCTTCGATAGTGTATTCAGGCAAGTACCACTGAGAAACTTTAAGTAATAAACGTAGATGAAAGTTCCGCATGATTGTTTAAGCGATTCAAGTCATATAACGCTCAGAATTAAGTTACGATTGCGCAGCTCAGGCAAGAAAAACTAAATGAAAGCGAAGATTTAACCCAAAATGTGCTATGGTTGAGGTTATAGCTTCACTGTAAAGCAGAGTGTATAATGAAATATTTTCCTGTGGAAATTCCTTAATTGGGTTGATTAGATCTGGGTTTGGGTTTATTTCGTGCCCGGGGGGGGGGGGTACTCCCTTATATGGGCTACATAGGTATGTGCGGCCCCAAAGATTAGGATTTTTCAGTCGTTTTGGTCATAAATAGGGTATCGATTTTGGCCATTTTGGTCTTAAATAGGGTTTGGTTTTAGCACTCTAGTCTTGAATTGAGTATGTTTCTTAGAAGGAACTTATTTTTTCATCATTATCGATAGGACCGTCAACAAAATCCCATCATAAATTATGTTTAGGGCAACTGTGCCAGCTTCAAAGTTAATAAATAGGGTATCGAGTTTTTGGCCAGGTCATAAACAAAGTAGCAAAAATTGCAGATTTTGGTCATAAATAGGGTAAGGTTTTTGGGATGTGGGCCGCACACCCCTACTCAAATTTTCTGAGTACCCCCCCCCTCCCTCAGGGGTTGCGTGATACTGCTCTAGCTTCCATAAATAAACTCATAATCAATGATAATGTTAATAATTGCGCTCAACCTGAGCTCATGGAAATCATTTTCACTTCCATGCTTTCGATGTCTTCCGTTTGAAAGACATCCAGCGATTTGAAAGCTTAACCATGTACATTTGAGGTGCCGGATATGTTGGGATGTTGAGTTGTGCAAACAATATTCCTGAATATTCATTATATGGCGTACAAAGGTCAGCACCTCACGAGAGGACAACTGAAATCTCTTCAGCAAGGCTGCTGGACTACACTACCCCTCTGTTCAAAGAATTCTAGACGCTGGGACCAAGGCGTCCCATCAATTCCAACTGGTTTGAAAAAAGTTATGATTTATGGTTGTACCTTCCCAAGTCCCTGTGTCGCCCTTGTCTTCGAGTCAGGTTTGACCCATGCCGGAGTTACCATGCCATTCGAAAATCCCTTACTCGTTCCCAGTCGATGCAGATGTGAGAAGACAACTGGGCACGAGTCAGCGAATTAAATGCCGCGAATGTAATCAGCACGCCAAAATCTTTTTTGTAAAGTTTTAAATAAACGGCACGTATTGGATGCAAAAGCGATCATGTTTAACAATGTCTTGGCTATCCTGGACATTGCAAAAAGACCGAGTGTATTAGGTAAATAAAGGTAACTAAAATCGGAGTAGCATGTGTGTGGACTCAGAAGAATGGAAAGATTTGCGGTTAAAATCAAACCTTCTTCCCCACCCACCTTTTTTTCACAGCTATCCAGATGCAAAGTAGAAGTAAGTACGCTAACTCTTAACTTTTAGACACTCTCTCACTTCAAAAGGTGCTAACGTTATAGCTTCCACATGCGATGAGCCGTGAATCATCCCTTTAAGATATTTTTAAAAAACCGTTCTCCCAGGGCCAAACCTGAACTTTTACCCATTCCTCCCTTGTCAAAATTGCACAAGATACTGGACTTAGGCAGAATTTTTGCATAAGGTTTCTTCTTGAAAAATCTATATTTTAATGGAAACGGTAAAGAAAAAAATCCAAAATCAGATAAAACTTTCATTTTGTGCGAGCTCGATTTCCTATAACTTAGGTCAGGAATTGCCAGGCTACCAATATCTCAAGATATGGTGCATTGCAAACGGAATTTCCAAGAAAAATACAATTTTGCATGTTTGATTTCGAACGCACTTGATGGAAGGGCTTCAGAATTATAGTAAAATGTACCTTTAAGTTATCTTTTTAGACCATGAACGTTTTTTATCGTTTGCCATTTGATTGCACAGTGTAACAAAATCAGATAACATGTCGAGATAAAACCACAGCAATTTCGGATTACTTCCGACGTTCTGGTGAAAATTACTACATTCGTTATGTTGCATTGAGAACTATAGCAATTCCCGATTGCTGAAAGGGAAAGTATAGATGTCTCTCTCTTCTCAGTTGCATTGAATTCTCCCATTTCTTCTCTTTCCACAAATTTATTACATTTGATTTTCGTAAAGTGATCATCACCGCAATACTAAATGACTTTTCAAGAGAAATAAGGTAATTACTTCCAAACTATTAACTACAGGTTTTTCCTTTGGCATTTCAATCAATTATAATTCAAAGTCAGCTTTTGTACCAACTACACGAATGGCACGTTCACAAGACTATGTCTATCACATCATAACATTGAGACAAAAATGTTGGTCATATTTATTCTGTTTATGTGTCCTTGTTTAGGAGCACCAACCTTTTCTCAACCAAGTATGTTAAAAAGAGCATTTAGAGCATGGCCAGTATCACACTCGATCAGATTGAAGTGTCAAGCGACTGGAGTGCCACCTCTCAAATACACATGGCTAAAGGACGGAATGAAAATGCCCAGCCGAAGGATGGACCCATATCTTAGCACGTCCATTTGGTACCTAAAACTGAAAAATCTAGTGCCCAACGACTCAGGGAAATACACTTGCATAGTGTCCAATCCATATGGCAGTATAAATCACACTTACACGCTTCAGGTTGTTGGTGAGTTTAGCACAAACGTAGACAATTATGCACATCTAGCTCAAAAAGACAATTCACAATGAAAAAGTGAGACGATTTTAGTTGTAAAGTAAAATATATAATTCAATTTGCCGAGTCTCCGCACCAGGCAACACTGGCAGTTTTGGTCTTGTTACAGCTGAAATATTCTTTTTTAAAAAAGATTTCCATCATCTTCTCGACAGCTAAACCACGATCACGGCCCATCTTACAAAAAAGCTCTCCAAAGAATACAACCGTACAGATTGGAGATAATGCAACAATGACATGCATTGTGCTTGTTAGTGGAACACTTCCAGATTTCAGATGGCTGAAATGGGACAAATCTGTCACATCAACAAAGAAAATTAGGGAAGACTTGGAGAACGGATCATACCGCATTATAGACCCACATTCTTACAAGATTATCCGAGTCAAGGGCCATTTAGGTTGCCAATTGACAATAACTAATGTCAAAGAGGAAGATTTGGGACTCTACACTTGCTATGTGAGCAATCATGTCGGCAAGGATTACAGCAGTGCTTTCCTTAGCAAAGATGGGAAACCCAGGGCTCCCGTTAAAGGTCAGTAGTTATAACGATTACGCAAATATCTCTGATATAGCAAAAAATATATCTGCAATATCCCCAGCTATAAGGTAAAGACGGTAAAGAGCGTAGACCACTTATGCTGTATAATCGAGAAATGTTGCGCTCCTCGTCCGTAATCTACATATACCTGTCTCCAACAAGCTAGAAAATGATGGCAAATGTTCGAATTAGCTTCAAAACACTGTGCTGTCAATGCTGTAGTATCAGGCAAAGAACGGGGAAAGTGAGAGGGCAATCACATCACGCGTAGCATCGATTTTTGACCAATCAGTCATATATTGTTTCAGATTTATTCTCAATTTAAGGGGAACATTTAAAATATATTTACAGTGAGAGTACCACTGAAGAATTGTAAAGATATCTGAGGACAGCACTGGAGGACCGGCTTTAACTGAAGGTGAGCTGTCTGTCTGTCTGTCTGT